TAATCTAATTTTACGATCTTGCTGAGAAATCCCGAAATATAATTTACCACTTTACGCCATCCATGCATTCAGATAAATGGATTTGATGCGTAGAGTGGATGCACATATGAATGAATATCTCCTTTACCTCAATCGCCTAGTTTCTGGCCTTTCATTGGTGTCGCGTATTCCCTTGTGTCAATAACCGTGCGTTTTGTGTCTATGGTATGCTGTGTTCTAGTCCATTGTGATGTCACGATCATAACAAGATCAGAGGTTACTCAAGCTTCCTATTACTCTGTGGTTAGTTCTTTTCCCTCTCCCTCACCCAGTACTTCCATGGTTTTAATTCCTCCGAAGGCACTGATAAGACCGAGGCTAGGTTAAAGCTGCGGTCAACTCGGGACGAGAGCGACCTTATAGGAAGCATTTTAGAGTGAAGTATTTAGGGGCCTCTGGCCATATTGTCTTTACTTAAATTTCCTTTTTAGTTAGAAAGATTACTTGTTGCACGCTGACATTTATTCGTTTCCAATTCATTTAACATTGGAAGCTTCTTTCTCGTGAAGCTTGTTTTAATTGCAGAGGCGAGTTTGTACAATACTATTTTAGCCTTATCTTGTTATCCAATATGCGAAAATTAGACATACTTTTTGATGGCAGTAATAATATATCATGTCAATTTAACGTTTTAAATTTATACTTACATTTTATCTTGGCTATTACCGTATCTGAATCCCTTATTCATTTATATCTATACAATTGTGCTTATACTCCCTTATCTTTTAATCCCTTCCTTGTTCTTCTTTTTTTTTTAATGCTCCATTGATTAGCCTTTCTTGCCTCTCTTACTGTGATGCTACTTAGTCTTCCTCAGATTTCCCTACAATTAGTCGCCATCAGACTCTCCCGTGCATTCAGTGCTATCTTTCCATCATACGCGTTCGTGAGTGCTCTGTTCTTAATAGTACAGAACTACGAATTTCGCAAGATTTGCGACAATCCACTCATAGATGTTATCTGCGAAAATCCTGAAGTCACAATGCCTTGTTGTTTAGGTGAGTTGACTCGGCTGCTGCTTGTTCCCTATTAATATGCATTCTTAGGATTCCGGCTAAATTTTAACTTATCTTAGAATCTCGGGTACTCATACTAGCATAATTCGCACCTTAGCTCACTATAATATTCATTCTTATATTCATTGGAATTTGTATGTTATATCGTTCCACTTGTATGCGAAAGCCTCCCGTAAAATGGATGAGCTCAGTCTTCAGGCCTACTACAACTTTTTAGAGATCAATATTATTTTATAATTACAATTACGATTATTGCTAATCACCGACCATGATCATTTAAACTATTTTCTATCAGAATTCTGAAGATGTGTCTTAACGGCTAATTGAATATTATAGATAGAGCATTTCTTTACTACTTGAAGTAATTATATCAGTATAGTAACTAATTTAAACTGAATCATGATCTAGACCTCCCCTTCGTTCTTTTCTAGCCATGGAAAGTCTTGCATTATTTTGTAA